CGGGCTCTTAGAGGTTTGCTCATTTTGAAAATACCTTTGTGCTTTGTATGTTTTGAAAATAACTTGGTATGGAAGACTTTGTAATGTTTCTCGGGAATGTGGAGAAAGTATACAAAGTGTCTTGAAAATGTTTTTGAAAAGTAGTTTTTTGTGTAAGTGCAAAGGTGTTTTGAGAAAACTTCTAATAGTTATCTACTTTTTATACTCGAAAAGGGTCATTCTTTTCCTCATATCTCTTAGACAGTGCTATCCTACTATTAGTGAGTAGGTAGCCCTACCGTTGGATGTATGAGGGAAATTCGAAAGGGACATTACAGTCACAAAGGCAATTTGTGGAGATGCTTTAGCAATTTTATTGAGGGGCTAGATCATTTACCGAGAAGGAAACTGTAGGGTCATCGAGGAACTATGATCTTTTGTTTTGTGGGTCTTTGCTAAAGCATTCCTGCCTCATGACTTTTGTTTTAAAGGCAAACAAAGTGGGGTACCATAGAGGTGCATATATACAATTGATTCAATTCAGTTATTTTTTTGTCTTTTTTATTAAGTTTGCTAGCGCTTGATTATTAGTCTTATCATACATGCCTAATTACTAGAAGTTAATATATTGTAGAATATTAAAGTGCAGGAATTTAAATCTACGCTATTACAATGCTCTGGGAATGGGGTTTACATTATACAAGAATGAGAGGGGATAAAGCAGTAAAATGTCCTAGTTTTAATCTGTTACATTCAATAGGCAGGTACAGAAAATGGAAAAATGCGAAAATAAATAAATGCGCGCGAAGTAGAAAAGATGTCTAAAAATCCTAAAGAAAAAAATTTGTTTTTGTTGTTTTTAGTATAAAAGAAAATAAAGCCTAAGTCTATTTAATTTTAATTTTAAGAAAAAAAGATGTTAAAATAATTAATTAGTTTATTTGTAAATTAATTTGATTAATAAAAACTATCCTAATATTTTTGTGATTTTGATTTAAGATTAATTTAATTAAAAAGGATCAATAAATAAATAACAAAAAGAACAAAAATAAAATATGAAAGAGTGAGGGGATCCTTCGATCCAGGGAGAGGTTGCCTTTCGATCCTATGAAGGGTGTCACCCTTCAATCTAGGGAGATGTTTCCTTTCGATTCTATGAAGGGTGTCACCCTTCGATCCAATGGCAAGATGTAGCTAGAGGGCATTGCTGGAAACTGCTTGATGGATCACTTGTGAGGACGCTACATCTGCAAACATGTTTAGAAAAAACAAAAGACATGACCTGGGTGCCAAACCCATGTCTTTCGATTCTGTGTGCGCTGGCCTTATTTATGCTGGACCTGTAACAAGCGTTAGAAGCAAAACAAAGGTAGACCTGGTATCGAACCTAGGTCTTTAGTCTTGAATAGAAAATCGAATGAAACAATAAGTGTGGATGTGTTATGCAAATACAAAGTTTGATCTTTTACCCTCTCTTACCAATAGTTGGAACCTTCGATTTGGCACTTTCTGGATGTGGGTACCTTCGATTTGGAACTTCTAGGCGTGGATACCTTTGTTTAAGGGTTGCTTTGACTTGTATCACTTATGAAAATTTTGATAACTTTTGGTGGGTTTGTAGGCAACGTATCTCCAATGTGTATGTGTCTCCTTTTTTGACTAGTAAGCATGCTTCTTATATGGAGTAGGATGGAGGGGACAAGAAGACAAAAGTTTAACTGCCATAAACAAACATTTTCAAGGCCATGAATGAAGTTTGACTTTCGATGATTTTATTTTTCGAAATTAAGAAAGGAAAAAATATTTAACTAAAGATGGTACAACAATATCTGATGGCCCATCTCCATCTAAGACTATTAGGGGTGTATTTTAATGGGGCCTTGTAAATTGGAAAGACTCATAAACCCGTTCGCGAGGCATGTTGGCCAATGGCCCATGCAATTCGAAGATAAAAAAAAATCGTCTGAGTAGTTAATAAATTATTAGTTTATTAAAACTACTTAGCTTTAATTCGCTATTAATTTAAAGTTAAGTATCTAAGTCCATTTACATTCAAGTGGTTGTTAGTAAAATGGGAGGTGAAGTTTCAATAAACGAGCCCATTGCATTTGGCCCACCTCTTTTGGGGTTTGAATAATAAAGAGGGGGTGTAGTTACGAATTACAGGTCCATTGAGGCTGCTACCAGCCCATTTGGTGTTAGCATTATTGTTTAATCTTAAAGAAAAAAAGACATTATCATTTTTAAAATTATTTTATTAAACACTTTACAGGTTATTAACTGATTTATTTACAACTATTTTATAGATATTTATTAAAAGATTTAAAAAAAGAAGGAAAAGAGATTGTTGTGTTTGGAAAAATAGTAAGCTAGCCCATTTGTCATTTTTATTACTGTTAAATTTTTTTATAAAAAAAATCTTTGAGAGATTTATTATAATGATGATTTTATTTATTATTATAAGGCATTATATTAAATATTTTTATAAATTTAAATTGTTGTTGGGTCAAGGGCCCAATACTGTATCGAAAAGAAAAGTAATGTTTGTTTGCAGCAACCAAGAACAAGCAGTGGCGTACTGGGTTAATTGAAAATGCAGGACCCAAGGTAGCCAGAAACTAATATTGTACCAATTTACAAAAAATACGCGCATGTTTCAAGCCAATTAACGAATACTGTATACATTTTTTAAATCTTGCAAAAAGAAATAGAAATCAGTACAAGGCCCAGCTCAAGGCCAATTTAGTGCAAAGCCCAATTTGGTTATTAACAACTACTATATTCAATTTTCAAAAGAAATGTGCATGATTTAGTCAACAAGTACTGTTTAGATTTAAAATAAATAAAATCAATCTATATTACATACTAAATCTCAGAATTGCAATTTAAATAAATATAAAAAATATACAAAATATCCAATACTCATCAAATCTTTACGAATCCAGAGAAGAAATCCCCAACGCAAATATCAATTACAAAATCACAATCATAAGCAATACTTTTACAGAATCACGTATTACAGAGAGCAAATCTCGTTACAGATCACAAAATCAAATCTAAAAGCTAAGAAAAATCTGGAAAACCAAGCTTACGGAACCAAATCAATTACAATAAAATCCAATCCCTAATTTCTCTAAATCCTAAATCAAACCCTAACTATTTGGTAACAACAATTTAAACCTAGTATTATAAATACTGGAATATAGAAACGAAGAAGGGGAGGAGATTCTGAGACGAAAATTGGAAAAGATTCTGAGACGGAGAGATTGAAAGAAAGAAAAATCTTGAAACCAAAAAGAACTAAGGACAAACCCTTTTGTCGTTGAAGACCAAAAGAGGAGGCAATTAGAGTTTCCGGATCGGAAAACCCTAATCGTTGTGGTCGTTGCTACTCGCCGTAGTCGCCTTCATCACCATCGGACGTCACCTTTAAAACCTGCAAGTTGAAGAAGAAAGCTTAGCGAACAAAAACTCGAGATTCATAACAGAAAAATTGCGGAGGGTAATGAACTTAGCTTCTTTCTTTTTGTATCATATTTGTTTAATCGCGATAGAGGGTTAAGTTGTTGTTACGCTGCCGCAGTGTTTGACGTTAGGGTTAGTGGGTTTTGGGGGATCTAGGGTTCGTAAGGATAGAAAGAGGAAGAAGATTGGGGGATTTGTTGTTACACCCATTTATGTTGTTTTTTCATTGAATTTCCTGGCTGGCATTAAAATTATGTGTGGCCGCTTAGGTTTGGTTTTGCAGGTTATGCTTGCAATGAGTTTTTGGACATTATGGCAGCAAGTTTGGACTGCAAGGCAATGTTGGTAAGAGTTGGGCATGGTTATGACAAATTGCAACAAGGTTGTAGCATGGAACATGGTTTTTGGTATACGGGTTCGAGATGTGTAAGTCGTGGAGCTTGAAGATTAGATTAGTATAGGTTTTAGAAATTAGCTTTCATGTAACTTTGAAAGTATCTTGAATTTGAAACACAGAAATTCCAACAGCATACGATAAAATCACAAACCTAGGCAAATTATAAATCACTAAATCATGATTCAACAAAATTGAAGACCAATTCAATTCCATTTTGAAAATTTAATAAATTTGCAGAGAAATTCAATTCCGTTTTATAAATTCCAAACAAAACTTCATTCAACAAAATTTACGCATACAAGGAAAATCCCAAAAAGAAACATGAAGTAAACATTAGAGAAAAAATCTGGACGAATTTCTGCTGGCGGTTGAGGAGAAACTCTGGCGACGATTTTCGGGCAGGAGTAACTTTATTGTATGATGTTACAAATGTTTCATGTATTAGATATACTTGTTTCAAGTATTTAACAAAGAAACGCACATAGTCTAGTGGTTTGGGCACCTCCTTCTAAAGTTAAGGGTCATTTTTTAAAATTTTAGCTTTAACTCTAACACACAATAAAAAAAAACAATACAATAAAACTCCAATAATTATAAATAAAAAAAATAAAAAATGACGTAGATAAAATATTATATGTCAACTCAACTAAAATTGCGTCACGTCACTACAAATAAGCGACAAATTGAATAGAAGACTAAATTCAAACACAAAACTTGAAAAAAGGACTAAAATAGTAATTTTCAAAGTGAGAGGATCAAAATCAAGAAAAAAATTAAATAAGGGGATCAAAGTTGCAATTAAGTCTAAATTAAAAAAAAAACTTAATTAAATTATTAAAACAAAATTAAGAAATTAATTATTCTAGTCATAAATTAATTATCCTTGTTAATATTGTCAACTCATTAAAAACATTTTTTTAATTCAATCTTCAATCTCATATATGTAAAATTGAAGGAGAATCATAAAAATCCTAAATGAGATAAAATTTAAGATCAGAAAGTTAATTTTTAAAATAAAAGGACTAAATTTAAAAAACTTAAAAATAGAGAAACTAAAAATACATTTAAGCGTAAAATAAAATTTGAGGGATATTTATCTCTTTCTCTATGTAGGTATATATATTTCTATCCAATCCTACGATACTTCACTACTTATATAGTTGTATGGTATATGCTCTAGTTTCTTCAAATTTTGCTTAATGATGGCTTATCTTAAGAAGCTTATCTTGAATCTAACTTTGCTATTTACCCTTCTCCTTTCAATAAAATTAGCAACAGCAAGTGCACACCTCTCGAATAACAAAACAGGTAGGTGATATTACACCCCAATAAGTAGAGATTAAATCTTGAAAGTGTGCTTATTTTTCTGATCTATCAAAATTCATTGGTCAATTGGTTTCTTAAAATTGTATGTCTTTTTGTTTTATATTTCTTTTTAAAGTTGTGTATTTCTAATTCCTTTTCTATATTGTTGGAATTTTTTTTATTTTTTTTGAGATCTTAGATGGACGTTTCCTTAATGTTAGTGAAGATGCACCACAGGGCCACCATTATAATCATGGATGATGATAGAGAACCTACAACTATTTATGTTAAGCAAAGCAAGGGGAAGAACAAAGAAATTATAAAGAAGCAAAGTGGTTAATTGGGGAAAAGAAACTAAGAAAAGAAAGGATTGCTCTAGAGATGCATAAATAATTATATGTTGGTTTGTTTTGGACTTATGAATATTATCGATAAAGTTAATTAATCTAAAGGTCGCATATCCTATTTTGAGTATGTTTGAATCAATGTTTTAATTCTCAATAGTAAATACATATTTATATATTTGATCTACTTCTTATTTTTTTTGTTTAGAACCTTTTTTTTTTTAAATGTGCACAAATTGATTTTTTTATTTATTTAAAAATTATTGAGGTTACTTACTATTTAGAATTATTAATAATAATGTTATGGTAAAAATGATCAAATACTAGAAACCGTCAATGAGACCTTTTCAATGAAAGCTATTTAATTTATTTAAAAATTAATTAGGTGGCTTGCCATTTAGAATTTGTTAATAATTTTATGGTAAAAATGATCAAATGCTAGAAACCGTCAATGAAAGCTATTTACTTTATTTAAAAATTAGTTAGGTTGCTTGCCATTTTGAATGGTTAGTCATCTATTAAATATAAATTCAAAGTTGTCATGATGAGAAATTTTGACACAATTTCTATTGGAATAATATAATAAGTGTGAGTAAGTGGGAAAATAGTCTCACATTAAATAAAAATATGGAGACTTAAGCATATATAAGTGGGAGAACCCACTCATCTATCACCTTAAGGTTTTAGGTGGAGAAGTGATGTATCTCTCATAAAGGTGCTTAGTCATACACTATGTATCAATGCTCTTAGTATCCCCCCAACAATTCCAACCTTATTTTTTATGTGTCATCATCTATTTAATTTAAATTTAATGTGACATTATATTAGAATTTTTTGAATTTTTATTATTTTTTTAATTCTTTACACCAAATCTTTACCTTTATCCAATTCAATACAACCAAAAAATATTTAATATTTTTCACAAGTAATTTTCATAAAAGAGATCACTTTAGCGATTCTTTCATTTTAATTATTCACTTAAAAAATTAAATTACTTTATAAAAATAAAATTTATAGTCAATATTTGAACAAAATTTGTAAGCATTATATATATATATATATATATATATATATATATATATATATATATATATATATATATATATATATATATATATATATAAATTTTTTTTTCAAATAATCATTTTTAAAAAAAAAAAACTCAAATAACTACATTTTCAAAAAATTTACCAAACTAACCACTTTTCAAACAAAAAAAAAAATTCATCACATAGAGGAGACGTCACTCTGTGTGGCGCATGCATGCAATTTAGAGAGGAGGCGCCACACTGCATGGCTTGTCCTCCTCTGTAAAGTCATGCAGTGTGGCGCATGCATGTATGTTTAGAGAGGAGGCGCCACCTAGTGTGATTTGACAGTCGTATTTATTAACTTTTTATAAATAAAAATAAAAGTAACTAAAAATATTTATATTACACAATACATTGGTACTTTTTTTTATGTCCCCTCAACTTAAGCGGGTCCCAGTATGACATAAACGACTCTGCATTTGTCTCACCCCTTGTCTCACTCCTCTATGTTAATTTTATAAGGTGTTTGTGGTCTGTTCTGACTCGCTTGATTATGTGGTGCTTGAAGTGATGATCCAGGTACATCAGGATCATACATCTCATCGATCATTTCACCCTAATGTGTTGTGCTTCCAAAGAGATCGGTGCCCATATTGTTGAAGTTTGGTCTTGTTGGTTGAGATATGTGTGAGTGGGGTGGTTGATAGTATTGGGATGTTGAATCGTGTTAGAAACGAAGCAACGATTCTTGTGGTGTATGAAAATCGTATGATGGTTGGGTACTTCGATGGTGTGATGTTTGACTGTATGTAGATTGGGTGGTATGGTAGGAAGGAGATGTATCATATGTGTCTTGGGTGTTGTGGTAGGATGAGGAAGGTGCATATTGTTGGTGGTGGGTTGGATCATGCTCTTGTTATTGTATTTGTGTGTGTGACATGAATTGATTGTTGTTGGGTTTGGTATTGTTGAGGGTTGGTTATTGGACTTGGTTTTGTTGAGGGGTTGGTTGTTGGGTTTGGTATTGTTGAGGGGTTGGTTGTTGAGGTTGTTATTGGGCATATGATGCAGCTCTTGGGCGTGGGTCGGTCAAATATGTCTCTTGAGACAGAAACATATTTTTTGAAACCGATGTGTACCATCTCAAATATTGGAGAGTCGGTTTTAAGTCATCTTATGAGATCGGCTCCCTTAGGACCAATTCACGTCGATGCCTCCATTGACGACATTGATTTTTAGCGAAGTCTCTCAAATCATTAAATCCCCATTATTCATCAACTCTGAGTAGATGCCATTGTCCCAAACTTGTAGGAGATCTAGGATACCCTATTACATCTGAACTGTAGCTTCACACGATCAGTGTGGTACATCTCCACTGTAGTGAACTTGATGAGCGTTGTTTTTACAGTCCAGACTTCAGCATCAACTGGGTTAATCTCATGGTCAAGTTCCTTATATGACATCCATACAAACTGTAGAGGAAAAAATGTTAAACTAATATTAATATTAAATTGGTTCTTGTAACACTTGTTCTTGAGGATTTTGAGTTTGTTCTTCATGAATTACCAAATTATATGGAATAGGAGGAAAATCAAAAATGTCTTGTGGAGGTTCCATACTTGTTTGATCAAAAGCAACTGTATGAATCGGTTCTTGAATTGTTACTGATTCTTTCTCTAAAACAAAATCTCTAACCTTATTCTTCCCCCCAAACTCAATATCCTCATAAATGTGGTTGTTCCCGTCTCAAAAATTGAATTTAATTTGGGATCATAAAATTTGTAGCCCATAGATCTTTAAGAATAACCAATAAAGTAGTTACTCTCTATTTGAGAGTCCAATTTATTTTTATTTGGCTTATAATTTCCCCAGCTATTCAAGAATTTGCCATAGAAAACTATTATGTCAAGTAAATATAGATTATTATGACTCACAAGTGAAGCAATTCCAACAATATTTAAAAGAAAAATTAAACATATTATTCTCAAATGAACAAAAAATAACCTGATTTGTCCAAATAAGAAATCGGAATTAAGTTTCATATAAATGACGGAACCATAAAAGTGTCTTTCAAATCTAAATAAAATCTAGCACACAATAATAATGTAAAATGTCATATAGCTTCCACCTCCACCGACTTTCCATCTTCCATATAGATGTATCTTTCAACATCATTTGGCTTTCGGTAGTTTAGGCAACCCTTCATTGAAACACTGATGTTAGTAGTTGCAACAACATCTAACCACCAAGTGTTTCCAGATACTGAATCTAAATTGACCTTAGAACAAACCAAAATATGACTCATGTGATTGGAGCGATCCCCACTTCTCATAAAATTTCCTTTGTTTAGAAGAATCAAATTCCGAAGGAGAAGATGGTTGCTTCATCCTTAATGCAAGGTCAAAATCCATGCAGTCAAGAATAATTTCTATATTCTCATTCCATTCCTTAAAATTTGTCATATTAAGGACATGTACCTTATTCTTAAAATTTACAGATATTGAAGCAATTGTAGCTGAAAAACAAGAACAACATTAAACATCTTTAAATATATTCACATAAAAAAAATGAATTATCAATTAGTTCAAATAAAGACATAACTCATCTTAAGATGCCTAGTGCACCATCAATATTGGGTCTTTAGACACTAATATTAACTGCTAGTGGTATTAAAATATTGATATTAAAAAACATGCCGAATAATAAATTCCTCTTTTGATTGATGTATTATTTACACGTACAATTTTATAATTATCACATATTTATCATCACAGACGCGTATGAAAATTGGTCAAATATCAACTATCATTTGAGTCAATTGATACTCACATGAATATACACATACACAAACCAAAAAATATTTAATATTTTTCACAAGTAATTTTCATAAAAGAGATCACTTTAGCGATTCTTTCATTTTAATTATTCACTTAAAAGATTAAATCACTTTATAAAAATAAAATTTATAGTCAATATTTGAACAATTTTTTTATTGAAATTCACTTTATTTGTTTTATTATGTGAAATACAACAAAACAATAACTGAATAACATATCATATATATTAATAATGATAAAAAACAAATTTACTAAAATTATTAATTTATTAATTTATTAATTTATTAAAACAAGTAAATTTAATAAATAAATAAATAAAATTAAACATACTGATTTCCTAAGATATTTCCCAAGATATAAAAAGAACTTTTATGTATATAAAATCCTCAAATTAATCTATAACATAGAATTTATACTATAGATCAAGTTTATATATTTATGTATCATTTCCAATAAGAAGCAAGCAATTATTATATAGGAGTACTAAAGAATTAGTGCCATTTATCATCCAATTAAGATGATGATTCCAAAGAAAAATAAGAGACCATAAAAGATCTAGATAACATTAGAATTGGTTACCCAGGTTCTTGTCTTCAAATACTTTTCTAATCATTTCCCTTTTCATTATTTGCTTGTATTATATACAAACTCACCAGAATACTATGGCATATGCCAAGTAATAATATATGTGGGATTTACTGTATCGAATGCTGAATTTGATGAACAAAATATATGAATTTGAACAAAATAATAATACTAGCACTTTAAATATTTAATATTATATTTGTGATCTAAAATTTTAATAGTGAGATGGAAAAAAAAAATATTTACTTAAAGTGGGTGTTTGTTGAGATAAAGAGTGATTTGACAAAGTAGGTAGTGGTTCCCTATGAAATTGATGCCATATGGAAAGAAGGAAAAACCTTATAGATGGATGCACTATAGTCAATAGGCGTGATACATAATATGGAAAAGTTGAAAACTTTCCTACAATATGAATTCTTACTTGCAAGTTTTAGTCAAATCGATTAACAAATAAAAAATAAAAA